GTCCTCTGTTATCATTATCCCCACCCGGCTTTGCCCAAGCAGAAATGCATCTTCTGGCATCTCTTAAGTGTAGATATGTGTTGCCATCACTCCCTCTATCTTGCCTGCCTACAGCTATCGGGTCTTGGGGCTCAACATGCTCTAATTGACCAGATTGAAACATGCCCTGGCACTTACTGGGTTTTCACATGGGCAGAGGGTACACTGACAAGGAACGTTGCTGCAGGCGGGCAGGGAGGCGGCAGATTTCTAGCAGAGAGCAGAGTAGGGGGAGAGTGAGCTGAACTTGCTCCAGGCTTGATGCTCTGGGACAAAGTCTCCCATTTCTTGTGTCTAGTGAATGTATCTTCCAGACTGGTGTGGGGAATAGGTTGGTCTGGGTTCCCTTCTCAGGGACATTGGATGTCTAACTTTTGCCTTTTATTTTAATAAAACTGCCTTGATTATCTAATGACAGATTATATGGTATCATATGGGAGAGTAGGAAAAAGAAAATGTTCTTGTTCTTTGCTTTTCTCCATCGCTTCTCTACATGGTAGAATTAGATAATTTTCCTGTTTGTGGAGGAGTTTGTGTCTGAAAAGGCTGCATGCTTCTTTTTTTCCAAAATATGTCTTCTTTTGCCCTTTATCTACCCCTGCCCTTCAGTGGGTGAGGGTGTAAAACTGAGGGCAGGAAACCTTTCATAAGTCATAACCCAGCCTGGTTCCAAGGAACATTTTTTTTCCAGGACCACTAGGACCAGCAAACTGCTGCCATTTCCCCCGAATCACTCGTGTGCCACAGCTGGGAGCAACCCAGCATTTGCTCAAAAGTGAAGCACTGCTTCCACGCGAGCAGGCTCCGCATGACACATTATACAACAGCACAGGCTGGTGCTGGCGGCTGTCATGTCATCCGGCAGGACAGCTCTGGACACGGTGCACTGCCAGGGCTGACATCCCTTCTCCTGTGCCCTCGTGCCGTGGTGGGCCCCCGCGCTGGAGATGGGCTGGGAAAGGGCAGTTCCCCTTGCAGCGGGAGCAGGCTGCGGGGGAGAGAGCAGGTGTAGGGGAGATGCTGGTCTCAGGATATCGAGACCCACCAGCTTCTGCCCTTTGGCCAGAATGCCTCTCCTCGCCTGCAGCACTTTTGTGCTGGTACATCTACTGTGCCCATTCCCCATCTCATCTCCCCTCACAGAAATTACTGAGGCTGTTCTCACTAGTAATGTCTCTCTTGACAGAAGTTAATTTGGAAATGCGTATCGACCAAAGCAGCACAGCACTGATCTCCCTGCTTTACCTCCCAGCCCGCCATCAGTGACATTGCTGCCGCGGAGAGGTTGCATTTGCAGCTCCGAGAGGGCAGGCGTGAGGCTCCCTGCTGCTGGCAGGACTGCGTGGGAGTCCCTGCCTCTCGACTGCTCTGCTCCCGGCAGGGCGAGAGCCCGCCAAAGGGCAGCAGCAGCTCCCCGCGGGGCAGCGGCCCGTGCGCGGCAGCCTGCTTCGAAGCCCTTGGTGTCTGCTGACGTGCGATCTAATCAGAAAGCACCAGCCTGTCCTGTGAGCCTCTTTGGTAAGTTGTTAAAATAACAGCCTTGCAAAGTCCCCAGTCAGCTCAGAGATGCAGTGATACCAGAAATATGCCCATGAGTGAAATGTTTCTTCATTTAACAGGGAAAGAACACGGCCCCACGCAGAGGAGAACTTGATAACCACTTGGTACAGGATTAGTTTTCCCACTTGCCTTTTAAAACCAGTTAACTATTTTCGCTCACTGAGAAAATATCTGTTAAAAATGTTTTTCCAGGTAGAACCACTCCTACTGGCGAGGAGTGTCCCCAGCTCTGCTCACTTGCTGCTAGTCTGACTGTTCTAAGATATGAGAGTGTGAGATGAGGTTGTACAGTTCTCCAGCACAGTTGGGCCTTGGCGACACACATAGCAAGCTGGCTCTAGTCCATCCTTAATCTTTGGGCCCTGCTTCTACTTTCATGTGAGTGTCTGGCTGCAGATCTACGCTTTCTGCACAGTGGGGATGCTTGCTTTCAGCGCTGAGGATATCTGGTTTCAGCCCTGCGAGTACCCGTGGTCTCTCGCATGCAGCTGCAGAATTGTTAGATGTCTTTAATTAAGTCCGTGAACTCTGCCAGTGCAGCAGATGCCTCCATTAACTGCTCAGCCACAGGCATTTTGCAAAACAGTAAAGAATGGGAGTGCACCAAAGGAGAGAATTACTTCAGCTTTGATCAGCATCCCCTGCAGCACTGGGCCTTCAAAGGGAGGCAAAAGCGCCCTGCCTCATGGCGTGCTGAGAAGCTCTGTCCTGCACTGCGTGTCCGAGTTGGACGGGGCACTTGAGTCTTGTCAGAAGCACCTACGCCTGTTTCTGTAACCCACAGTTCACCTTTTTGCTTTATTTCTTTTTAACAGAAAGTGATCTTCCAGCCCAGGCTGGGTCTGAGAGCAGCTCTGGAGGTGAAGCAGTGGCTGAGAGGGCGGGCTTCGTGCCAGCAGATAGAAGAGGCAGATCTCGTTGGGCCAGGGGTCTCGTGGGAGCTGAGCTGCATCCCCTGTTTACTGCTGGTGGGCTCCAGGGAACGGAAGGACAACAGGACAGTGTCAAAGAAATACCTGATTTTGCAGTCAGTTTCTCCTCTGCTTGCAAACAGCTGAGCAAGGTCCTGAATGTCTGCAGATTCCAGTGGGATTTTGGCAAAACAAAGGCAGGTAAGCCTTGAGGAGTGATTCAGAAAACTCACTTTCCAGGGCAATTAACCCTGGAGGCATTTAAAATCTACAAGCCTGATGACCAGTGCTGAGGAAGGCTCAAAGCACCCTTCTAGGTGCAGCCGGGCACCCATCTCCTGCCCCGTTAGGCTGAGTTTAACTGGTCCCATCCCTGAGGCACAGCGTAAAACCTCCCTGCCACCCTTAGCCAGCTCTGACTGCTTTTGTCCCAGCAATCAAAACCAGTCCCAGAAACGCCCCTTCAGCCTGGTGAAAAGCTCTTCCTTGAGCTGTGGGTGACCGGCCTGCTGAGAGGGAGAGGTTGTAGCCCTGGCTTGCACATCCCGGGAGGCAAGGGGCGTAAGTTGGGACGCAGCTGTGTGTGCCTAGGGCTCGCCTGGCACAGGAGGGACTGAAAGACTCCCCGGGACGGTGTAAGAGCAGGAAGGGTGGCAGCAGAGCAGGTAAGTGCTGACCACCCGTGTGCGTTACTGGAGGGAGCCGGCTGTACCGCGGGTGAGTGTTCCAGCCCTCCCACTCCGGCGTCCGGCCCATCTGCCAGGCAAAGCGCTCGTCCCTGCGCCCAGCAGCCAGGGAGGGTTCCGTTTGGAAGGGACCAGCAGGGACCATTTTGTGCGGGCTCCTTCATAACACAGGCCAGAGGCTTCCCCCAGCAAACCCCACACCTTCCAGCTGCTTAAACTCCACCCTCCAGTGCCTTTGCTGGAGGGGTGAAGAGTGCGGGTGGGGAGCATTGCGTAAATGCATATGGCAAACGGGGCTGACAGCCGGAGCGGGGGACAGGGCAGCGCACGGGGTTGGAGCTGCTCACCTCTACGTGCTGTTTCGGTGGGTCTCAGCCTTGTGCCTGGCTCAGCACCGCTGCGAGCGGCGAAACTCGCGGGGGCTGGCGGCGCCGGTTTGTGCCGCAAGTCAGGGGTGAGGGTCAGAGGTTCTTCAGAGTCTCAGCGCAACTCTCTGCTCTGCAGCAATGACCCATGTCCCTCGGTTTTACCCAGAAAGCGCGTAGCTGAGCACAGCGATACACCTGCAGCTGGGTTGTTCTTAAGCTCTTTTTGTTGGCAAGAAGGAAATGATTCTGTCAGTGCATCTTCGGGAGGGTGCACAGCATGGGGACACCTCTGGGACCCATCCCAAGGACAGGCCCCCAAAGGAACTGTCTGGGAATATTCTGGAGAACACAGTAAAATCGGTATGTTTTGACTACTTCTGACAACCAGCTATTGGGTGTTGTACAAAGATAAGTGACTACGAAAATGACTGGTTTGATTTCTGTTTTAACAGAAAGCTGACTTCAACTCTCTTAGTACTGAGCAGAGCGGCAATAAAAACACAGTTTACTTTCAAACATGGCAAGGAGACAAGCCCACCACTTGGAAAACCAAATAACGTAGCCACTGCTCAAGATAAATCCAAACTTTAATTTTGGCCTAAATATATGATTGTTGGAAAATAACAAGACACTTCCATATCATTATTAACCCAAATTATATCTACCGATTGTTTTACAAAATGGAAGACAAAGTTTATCAGTCTTTTAAAAATCAATGCATGCTTAGAAAGAAATGGTTTTCCGTATTAGATGACCTGAGAACAAGTAGCATGAGGAATAAAACACAAGACCTGCCTGAGCCACAGGCCATGTGTGCAAGCAGCTCAGTCCCCTGCTCCGTTGCCCCTGGCACTGCAGGGGCGATCTGTGCCCACCTGTCTCACGAAACAGCCAAAAGCCGCGCACTTTGGAGCGAGCGCCCCAAATCGAGCCTGCTCGCCTCCTCCTCACGCTCCCGGGAGGCTGCTGTCTGGATGCAAAGGGTGCCTGGATCCCGTCTTAACGAGCCCGGCGGGCTCCGGAGAGGAGCCCCGCACGCCCTGTGGTGGCTGGGGTGCGAGGGGGGGTGCTGGGGGGAGCTGGCTGGCGCGGGGGTGCCCGGCACCGCTGGCACCGCTCCCCCCTGCGGGGAGCCCGGCTGGCTGAGCCGGGACCGCCGGCTGCTCGCTCACGTGTGCTCCCGCCGCTACAAAGCCGCCTTCGAAAACGAGTCAGAAATTTGCAGCAGGTGCCCTGGAACGCCCAGCCCGGCGGGGTGGGCGACGCGACCCCTGCCCAGCCCACCCCGGCCTCGGGCCGCCATCGCTCCCGCAGCTCCTCCGCCCTCGGCTCCCCGGCGCTGCGCACCCCCCGCCCGGGCTGCGGGCGGGCGGCCGCCGGGGCCCGGGGCGGGGCGGGGCGGGGCGGGCGGCCGGGCCCTGCCCGCGGCGCTGCCCCCCGCGGCGCTGGGCGGGCGGGCGGTCCCCGCTGCGGCTCGGCGCCTTCTCTTCCTCCTCCTCCTTCTCCTCCTCCTCCTCCTCCTTCGCCACCACCTCCTCCTCCTCCGCCTGGCCGCTGCGGCGCGGGGGCTGCGGGCGGAGCGGCGGCGCCATGAGCGGGGCGGCGGCGAAGAGCGAGAAGCTGGACGAGGCTCAGGCGCTGGCCCGCAGCTGCGCGGGCAGACCCGACTTCCAGCCCTGCGACGGGCTCTCGCTCTGCGCCACCCACAGCCACGGCCGCTGCTTCCGCCTCCACTGGTGCTGCCACCTGGGATGGTGCCACTGTGAGTGAGCGAGCGAGCGAGCGCGCGGGCCCCCAACGGTCCCCCCCGGGGCCGGGCCCGCTGAGGTGGGACCCCGAACTTCGGGGAGGGGGTGGCCGGGCCGGGCAGCGGCGGCGCTCGGGGGGGGGTGTGGGGTGTGGGGTGTGGGGTGTGGGGGGGAGTTGCCTCAGGGCCCGGCGCCCACAGAGCCCTCAGAGCCCGGCGGCGCGGGAGCCTTCGCACGCCGCGTTCGCCTGCCCTTCCCGCCGGTTCTCGTTCGCCGTTCTCCGTTCTGACCATTTCCTCGCCGCTTAACGGTTTGTTTTTTTTTTTTTTCGAGTAGCGAAGTGACTGCTTCAGGATACACAGAGCACATAGTCACTCTTTCAAAACCCGGTGTTGAGGGAACTCTGTTGAAAAGGCACCCGGCGACTTTAATATCACTACTCGAGGGACCGATGTGTATAATCATGGAGGCTGGGATTGAACTGTGGATGTCCAAACATAGTTTGATGAGTAATTAATCACGTAGAGCCTCCAAGAGCAGGCTTTTCAGACAGCGTGTCGGTGTGAGGTCAGGAAACGGTGGTGGAGCTGTGTACTTGTGTCGTGTTGAGTTTTGGAGATCTTAAAGCATGGATGGTCAGGGTTAAGGTTGGATCCTTAGGTGAGGGTTGCGTGGTGCTGCTGAAGATGCCCCTTGACTCCTGACGTCCCGTTCTCCTTTTGAGCCTGTCACCATCTCTCCTTGTAATTTAATCTCCTACATGGATTCCCCCTCGCGCTTTTTGCACATTTTGCTTAATGTGGAAAAGAGCCTGCCTAAAAAGCCACCTTTTATTTGGATGAGAGCTTCTATTTGAATTAAATACGCATGCTAGGAATCTCACCTTGATTTGGGGTTCATTTGAAATCAGTTCAGAACAATGGGGGGGGTTCTGTCTGTGCCCTGAAATGAGTACTGTGTGGTGGCACAACTGGCTACGTGAGAAGGTTGCCGTCGTTGCCTGCTGCACAGGGATAGGGATATCTCATTGGTATTTCATCGAAAGGCCCTCAAGTTATGACCCAGTTACAATCTTTTACAGAATTTCTCTGGTCTCAGTTATTTGGGGTTGCCATTGAGACTGATGAGCTTATAAGCACTCTGAAGTACAGGATCGGAGCTCAAAAAGGTGTTTATAAACCAGAGATGTTACCTGAAATCGGTTGGGGATTGTCCTGGGAAGAGGACGTCAAATGTGGAGCTGGGAACACTTGGAGAAGTGACATTGTGGAGAAGGATCTGGGGATTAAGATGGATCACAAACTGCGTGTGTGTCAGCAGCAGGAGGCCTTTGTGGTACAAAATCCAAAACCAGAACCCGAGCCTTCACTTGGGGACGCATTAACAAGAGCATTGCAAGCATGCAATTTAATTAGTCTCTTCAGCTCAGTAATGATGAAACCATGCTGATGGGCTTAGTTTTGAACATTCCACTTTAAAAAGCTGTAGGAGGGTTGAGGAGGTTCCATAGGAGATCACAATGATCAGCTTAGAAAATATGATTTACAAGGGGTTGCAAAAGCAAAGGGGTTGCTTGGGCTGTAGAAGGTCGGTGGAGGAAGGGGAGATGCGCTTTGCAAAGTGTAAAGGTAGCCTTGCAAAGAAAGCTGTTTTCTTAGTCCTTCCCTGTGCAGACTTGAAAGATAACCAGTTATCACCTGTGGCAAGGAAAGTTTAAGGCTGGATATTAGAAAACATTTTAACTAGGAAGAGAAATAAAGCAAGAGAACAGAGTACTTAGGGAGGTGAGGAATCATGGTCCTTGAAGGCCTTTAAGGAAGGCTTAGACTGGTGTCTCCTAGGAGTTACAAGGAGCTGATTCCCTCTTGGAAGGACCACTTGAGATCCCATCCAACCCTTAGCTTCCCAGTGGCAATCGTAAGATTTAAAAATAATTATATCTTTTGCAAGAAGTACAGACTTCCTTCTTAATTCCTCCTTTACGGCTAAGGAAAATTTGAGATACATTTGCCCCATGAAGCTGTAATTTTAAATGAACGAAGTCACATAGCTCATTTTCTTGTTTAATCTTCTGAAATCCATGAGGAAGTGCGCTCCCTTCTTGCCCCCTTATTTCCTCATGCAAATTTCAGAGCTAAGGATTTCTTTGTATCCTGCTCCTGCGGAATGAGTTGAGTTGGACTTAAAAGGCAGTAAGAATGAGGCCTATAATGGAAAACCGTATAGAGGTCAGAGATGTAATTAAACAGTGTTGGGAGTTATCTTCCATAAACGCAGCGCTGTAATACTGACTTGGAAATCCTCCGAGGGTTCTTGAAAGTGGTTTTCTGTGATTTGTAAGAGCTGTATTGGGGTACAGGAAGCTCTACATCAATTAAAATGGCCTTTGAAGTATTATTTTCCATCAGTGTCCAAGGTCCTGGAGAATGTCAACTCAGTTAAAGTGCACTTACACTGAAAAATTACAAAAACTCACCACTGCTACCATGAGTAGGCTGTCTCCTCACATGTATTTGGGATCACATCTGCTTACTTCAGTGGCAGAAGCAATTTAGCATTGCAGAGCCACTTGGCTATGGAAGAAATAATTGAGAAAGAACCTAGTCTGAATTCCCTAAAGCCATTTTTGTTGGCACGCTCTGAAGTGAGCAGTACTTTAAATGCTCTCTTTACCTCCAATGTTTCTCTGTCCATAAAATGGCAATAATCTCGCTGGCAGGCGAGATCACAGGGACTGTTTAGTGTATCCAAACAGCGCCGAGAACCTCAAGTGCTGCGGATATTTGTATGACTTCTGTGTCTAAGCATGGGAGTTTATTTTGGGTCGTCTTCAGTCTGTTTCGGGCTTGGTTGAGGATCAGATTTCCCTGTGAGATGGGAGGTGGTTCTCTGATGTGCCCCTGTGCCTGGGGAGCTCTGAACCCAACTGTTATCTCTGTAAGCAGGCACGTGCAAAGTATGCGGCACTGGTGGGCTTGGGGAGGCTGCAGATGGGAGAGCTGGCAGGGTGCGTGGGGCGGCACTGGAGACGCCTGGCTCTGGGCATCGGGGGTCCAAGGCGGCAGGCAGCAGCTCATATCCTGCTGCAGGAGATGTCTACAAGACCCTTTCCCCGCTGTGTGCTGCTGGACATCGGCGTGCCTACCGACTCCTGTCTCCGCGTGGAACTGGGGTGAGGGCTCAGGCCTTCGGAGGCCTCTTCCCTGCAGGGAAGAAGATGTTGGCCTGAGAGGTGTTTTGACTTCGGCCCTTATGTTTGTCCCGTTACGCATTTCTCTTGCGTTCACTGTGCCCTTTCAGTCTATACCTGCGTGCGTTCCCCTTGCCAGGGTGACAGTCCCCTGTTCACCTTCCTCCCTTCCCTTCCGACAGACTTGTGGGGTTTTGCTTATTAGATGCACGTTGAGAGCTTTGAATTACTCAGATCTACTTTTTCCCAAGTCAGAGAAGACATGCACCAGAGGCGGGTAGGTCTGCAGCAAGGTGCCTGCCTTTTTTCCTCACCTCTGGATTTCTGCTGCGGCTCTCATTTGCACTGATGCTGTCTGCGAGGCTGCTGGCTGTGTGGTGGCACCAGCTTCTGTCAGGAGGGATCAGTTCCTTGGAGTTACATCTGTCCTGACAGCAGGACTTTGACTGTGTTTTGCTAATTTTACTTCTGAAGAAGTAGCTTGCCAGAGAAAAAGCATCACACTTGATACAACTATAAGATTGGCTTCATCCCTGGCCAATGCAAAAATAGGGTATTCTGTTGCAACTGTGTTAATTTTAAAATCTGAATATCTTGCATTACGTTAAACACCTTGCAAAACCCTCAGTATGTTATGTTGCAGTTACCAGCAATACATTAAGAATAATGATTCCACAATACTTGTTTCACAGCAGTTGTATCAATAGATAGCAATTGTGCTACCTTGTATTAGCCTTTCTGTGATTTTCTTCCCCCCCCGCCCCCCCCCCCCGGTTCAGCATCAAAAAAGCAGGCTTTTAGTTATTTAAAGCCTCTTGCATATCTTATATTGAAAAATAAATGCAGCAAATAAATTTCAGTTCCGCCACTTCTGCAAGATTCAGCTGTTTGGACTGTTTACAAGAAAACAAACCAAGCACGGGTGAAACCTGTGAGGTCTCCTTTGGGTAGTCGGAAAGGGAAAACAGTTGCTAAGCTCAGACATGTAAAGGGATTGTGGTGGCAGTATAGGTTTTAAAAAATACAAATGGTCCCCCGCCCTTGTGTTTTGCTAAGTGGTGTATAACACTTGCAGGTGTGCCTTGAAATAGCTTCCTGCTCCCTGGTGTGCATCGTGTAATTGTGGGGCTGTTACACCCTGAGTTTAGATCTAGACCTGGCAGTTTCTGCATGAGGACAGGCAGGCTTGGCAAGAAACCCAAGAATCTGTCATTCCTTGGCCAAGAGGAGAAAATGGGTTTACACAATGGGTGGCACAACACGAAGGGCATGTGTTTTCTGAATGGTTTTGGGGACAAGGACTTCTCTGATTTTTGGCCGTGCCAGTATGTGTTCTGAGGATGCAGAATCAGAGTATATTTACATTTCTTGTTCATCTGCCTGCTGAACAGCGAGACCAGGGTTTCCCTTCGCTCTCAGAGCAAGCTCCATCGTTTCCTCGTGCCTGTTTTACGGGCGTCTGCCGGTCCCTCAGAGCTGGGCCAGCCAGTTGTCGTTTCGGGTCTGCGGTCGGCCGCTGCTGTGTGCTTGGGTGGTGAGAGGCCGTTATCCACCTCCCGCAGCTGCTGCCAGGGAATGAAGCAAATCAGTACAGTCACTGCACCCGTGGGTACTCTGAGCAGATACCTGTTTCTTACGTTCTTCTCTACTTGAAATACCAGTGGTTTTATTTTATTACGTTTTTAAATAAAAACATTCATTTTCTGTCCCACAAAACTGGTGAAAGCTCTCTGTCGAGGCCAGCCTTGGTTATGCCTCTTCCAGAGGTGTCACACCGTATCTCCTACCCATCCGCCGGCAGTGTGCATACCCTGGCCCCACATG